GTTTGGTTGGGACCGCCTGGTCTTTCTTTGGTCTTCGGAACCCAACCTCTGTTGGGTTGCCCAACGACAGAGGATGACCAGGACCCAAAATTCATCCATCCTGACTTTCAAACGGAAGCTGGCGGGTGGATCATCCAGGAGTTAGAGGCCATGTGAGAACCTGTATTTTTTGAAGGAGGTTCTGGGAACTAGGGTGGTTCTCTTTTTTTTAAAAAAATAATAATCAGGATTATGGATTAAGGGAGGCGGTGGCTCAGAGGCAAAGACGCTGAGCTTGTTGATCAGAAAGGGTCGGCAGTTCGAATCCCCAGCGCCGCGTCGCGGAGGGAGCTCCCGGTCCCGATCCCAGCTTCTGCCAACCTAGCAATCCGAAAGCATGTTAAAAAAAAAAAAATGCAAGTAGAAAAATAAGGACCCCCTTTGATGGGAAGCAGTGGTGGGATTCGGAATTTTTTTACTACCTCCGATGTTGGTGAACCCACAACTCTTCATTTCTTCTTAAAAAAACTTCCACAGATAATTATTATTCCCAAGGTCAGGAAGTTTCTCCTTAATTCCAGGTTGCTTCTAGCCTTGATTAGTTTCCAGCCATTGATTCTTCTCCTGCCTTCGGGGGCTTTGGAGAATAGCTTGACTGCCTCTTCTTTGGGGCAGCCCCTCAGATATCGGAAGGCTGCTGTCATGTCTCCCCTAGTCCTCCTTTTCATTAAACTAGATGTTCCCAATTCCAGCAACCGTTCTTTATATGTTTGAGCCTTAAAATCCTCATTGTTGCTCTTCCCTGCGCTCTTTTAAATGTCTTGCAAGCATTTATATACAACTGTTGAAAGTTATTGAAGGCACCAAAAAAAAAGTGGTTTATCAGCTACTTCTCCTTCCTTTCCATCTAGTTCGGCTGCTGCGGAGGGGTCTCCTACAGAGACTGGTCCCAAAACATGTACTTCAATTGCACACCCCAAAATCCCAGCCGGGAGTTTTGCTCGGTGCCTTATTCCTGTTGCCGGCAACCGGAAGACCAGGTGAGGCAAAACGGAAATGTTCTGACCCGGTTTTCCCCAAAAGCACGAAGCCGACTCCTCGTCCCGATCAAACCCCTTTTATTTAGCTGAAATGGGAATTCCTCTCCAGCAAAGTCCCGGCCAACAAGTCTTTCAAGAGATTGCACAACGACAGACCTTTATCGGTCTGGGAGAGTTGCCAGGGCGATCTCTTCCAAACGCCACGCTGTAGCAGCAATGATTTGACAAGTCAGGAACAGATCTTCATACTAATTAAACGAACTAATTGTCTCCTACAAACCCCATTCCCCTTTTGCTCCTCTTTTATACTCTATGGGAGGGGACATTCACCGTCCACCTGTGCCCTTACTCCCGAGTCAACCCCTTGTTGCTTAGTTGTTCCCTTCGTCTGGCAGCTCTGTGCATGCGCACACTGGGAACAGGTTCCAGCTGTTCTTCTACCCCATTGATCTCTGACTCCGAAGGCAGCTGATCACTGTCGGACGGCCCTGGCCCCATCTCTGCCTCCGACGCAGAGCCCTCCTCAGATTCCAGGACTGGCCCATGCTCCTCCCCAACCTCCTCACTTTCGGTTGGCAAACTGCCACGCTGCTCCCCCCTCCCTTTCTGTTGACAACTCTAAAAAGACCAGAGAAATATTTTATGTTCGGTTCTTTGTGCATCCGTGCGCCGCGTTCAAAATACACCAATTTCAAGCACTGCGGCTTACCTTCTAAGGCAGCCCCCGGTAAGTAAAACAGCTGAATCCACTGTGCGTCGCGCAATTCAGCTGAGCAGATAAACGTGGAAACTCAGCTGATCATTGGGAGTAACCGGTTCATTAGAACCAGTCCGAACCAGCAGCATCCCACCACTGGCCATCGGTCCAGGTGAATAAGTCAACAGTTGCTGGCTTGGGGTTATAGCTTTCCCTGGGGAATCCTTCTTTGCGTGTGACTCTCTTTGGTGTTTTCCTGCCCAGTTGGTCATCAACACCATGTGCGGCCAAGGGGTTCAGATGCTCAGCTACCCCATAGCCGGAGAAATCATTCACACCAGCGGCTGCATCGATAGGCTGGTGGACTGGATGCACAGCAACCTCCTGCTCATCGGTGCAGTGGCCCTGGGCCTGACGCTCCCCCAGGTAAGCAGAAGAATAAGGAATTAGAATAAGAACAATTAGGAATAAGGAGTAGGAATAAGAATATGGAGTAGAATAAAGAATAAGGAACGAAGAATTGGGAATAAGG